AGCTGGGGCAGATAAGTCCTCAGGTCCTGGTTAGGCTCTGTGCAGAGAGCCAGGAGTGGAGAGCGCTCCCATCCCAGTGGTTCTGCAGGGATGTTTTCCCAGCTTGGCACCAGGCCTCAGAGAGCTCTCAGTTAAGGGCTTGGGAGCTGCAGGAGCAGCTAGTCCTGTCCTGTGCTCCCAGGAGCTGCCTTTGTGAGGGCATGGGAAGCACAGCACTCACGCTGGTGGCCTTCCTGGACATCAGAGCTCTGGGAACACCCATCAGCGTGGATCCAGGAGGGCTTTTGGCTCTGGCTTAGGGCTGGCTGTTGCACGCCTTGACCTGACCCTGGTGCCTTCACTCTTCTCCCCGGGACTCCAGTGTGGCGTACCCCAGCAGCCCCCTCATGAGTGATGGGGACCTGTGGGCACTGCTCCGTGCTTACGCTGCCCTCAGCCGCGGTGGTTCTCTCCTCCTCGCTGTGCAGGCTGGTGTATGACAGGGAGACGGGAAAGCCGAAGGGCTATGGCTTCTGTGAGTACCAAGACCAGGAGACGGCCCTCAGTGCCATGCGGAACTTGAACGGGCGAGAGTTCAGCGGGAGGGCCCTGCGCGTCGACAATGCGGCCAGCGAGAAGAACAAGGAGGAGCTGAAGAGTGAGTCTGAATTTTGTAGTGGAGAGCGCACTGATGTCACGCTGGGCCTGGCCTTTTCAGCGTTACAAAGTGTGCCTCTTCTGCGAGGCTGCCGAGAAGGAGACCTGGTGGAGCTGACCTGTTCCAAGTGATGTAGGAAGTAGTTTTGCAGAGGGATACCTGGGCTCAGCCTGTGTTTTGTCCCCCAGATGATCTTGTTTTTGCTGCCTCCCCTTCCCCGTAATGGCACGGTGCTTCCCTTCTGATGAGCCCATTAAAAACAGCCAGTTAACTTTGCCATACGAGGTCACAAACTCTGTTGCAGGCTTGGGCACAGGCGCACCCATCATAGAGTCACCCTACGGGGACCCCGTCAATCCTGAAGATGCCCCCGAGTCCATCAGCCGGGCAGTAGCCAGCCTGCCACCCGAGCAGATGTTTGAGTTGATGAAGCAGATGAAGGTGAGTGAAGCGGAGGGCACAGCTTCTACCACTGCTGCCCGTGCCCTTGCAGCCCCTGTCGCACCTTGCCAGAGCTCTGATCCGCGTGTGTCTTCTCAGTTGTGTGTCCAGAACAGCCCCCAGGAAGCCAGGAATATGCTGCTCCAGAACCCCCAGCTGGCGTATGCCCTGCTGCAGGCCCAGGTGGTCATGAGGATCGTCGACCCAGAGATCGCACTGGTTTGTCACTTGCTGCCTCGTTCGGGGTCGGTAGGGTAACGGTGGCAGCCTGTTGTGGAGAGCGGGTGGAAGAGAACTCCTTTCTCCTCCTTCTGCCCCCAGAAAATCCTGCATCGCCAGACCAGTGTTCCTCCTCTGATCCCGGGCAACCAGCAGCCAGTGCCGGGGCCGGGGCCGGGACCAGGGCCGGGGCCTGGGCCAGGGCCAAACGCCCAGCTGAACCCACAGAATACCCCCTCATCCCAGCCACAGGCCATAGTAAGAGCCTACGCGACACAGGCGCCGTGCGGGGGAGAGATGGGCATTGCCAGCTCCAGCTGTCCCAGCTGGGGCGTGCGTGCCCAGGTGACGGGGCTTCCCTGAGGTCCGGTTTCTCTCCTGGGCAGGGTGGGATGCACGTAAATGGCGCTCCTCCTCTGATGCAGCCGCCCATGCAGGGAGGAGTGCCAGCCCCAGGACAGATGGCAGCCCCTGTGCAGGGCCCGGGCCCTGGCCCCATGGCTCCAGGAGGTGAGTGCGTGGGTTTTGGCTGGACAGTGCCCTGGGCACACGGGTTCTGCAGACAGCCCCCCATCTTCCCCTAAACCTTAGGGCTTAGCCCTGTGAGAGCCCACGTAGTCCCGTGCCGTGGTTGTGGCCGGTGCCAGCAGCGGTTAAAGTTGCCTAATCTCCATGGGGAACCAACACCAAGAAAACAAACCTTCAGATGCTCCCCCAGGAGCTGGGGAGGGGAGGTATTTGGGGCCAGAGGAATCCGTTAGTGATGCAGGGACGGCTGGGGAGGGATCTGATCTTTACCTGTTCCGTCTCAGGTGGGATGCAGCCACAGGTTGGGATGCCGGGCGGAGGGCCTGTCCCCTTGGAGCGCGGACAAGGTAAAACAGACGTGGGTTAGTGCTGTGCATTACATGAACCTTGCTCCAGCGGGGACCCAGGCCAAGGGTGCTGAGCAGCTCCCTGCAGCCTCGCCGTCCCTGGATCTGGGGCAGCTCCCGCAGCGCTGGCCTGCACCCGGGTTTGTTCGCTTAGGCGCAAGGCTGTGGTAGCAGCTCTCCTGCTTCCAGGGCCCCAGCCCGCCTACCAGTTTGGTCCCAGCTTGTCCTGCACCGTGTTGTGCAGATGCGTCCTGGAAGCCAGGAGAGCCGCCAGTCCCCGCAGAGCCCCACTGAGCGGGATGTGCCTGTGTTTTCCATCTCTCTGTGAGCCTGTGTCTGTCCCTGTGCTTGAGCAGGCAGGCAGAGCTTGCTCTTCTCTGGTCCCTGTCCTGCTCCTTTGCTGCCTGGGTGCTGGGAAGCAGCTTGTGCTGCCACCGCATCTGCCCACGTCTCCCGGCGCTCTCTGCACCGTGCCCGGCAGAGGGAGCTGCCCCTTCGCTTTTGCTTGCGATAGGGAGTGCGAGGCTTGGCAGGGAATTTCCCGGTGAGTGATGGCTTGGCTCTCCCTCCGCAGGCACGGTCTGTATGGCCCAGCCCCGGAGCCGGATTCCTTACGGTTCACACGTTGCGTGGCCGCCCCGTCCAGTCACACACCAGGGTTAGCACAACCAAGGCGTTCCCATTCTCCCAGTAAGAAGGCACATGGCTGACACCTCTATTGCCTTGACTTGTATTGTAGGCCTTGTTTGAGGACCGTGGCAAACTTGTTCTGAGATTCGCCGACCTTAGGTATCTTAGAAGCTGACTTTCATTTTCTCTGGGGTGGGCACCATCTTCCTGAGAGCAACCTGGCTGTTCTTGGCACTTTCACTGGTACCCAGAAGGTTTTGGAGAGCGGACAGAAGGCTGGCACTGGGGAGTGCTGTGGGAAGCTGTGAGCAGGGGCAGAAGTGGAAACTGACTGGCTGTGCATTGTGGGGTGCGTCATGGCCCTGCAGAATGCCGATTCTCTTGGCAGGACGTCTTCCTGCCCCGAACGTTCACGTGGTGAGTGAGGGAAGGGCTGTGCCAAGCTGGCTGTCAGCGCCTGTGGTGGCAGAGTTGGTGTTAATGGAAGAGGTTGATAAAGCCAGACCTGCAGTGTGCAGCGTCTTCTCCCTAGGTTTTCCGGGGGACTTCAGGGAGCGGAGGTGATCCTGCAGGCAGCACTGTCCCCAAGGCTGAGTGCATGTGTGCATACACTATTTACGTGTCTGCTCTTCTCCCTCTTTTCCTGCTGCTTGTCCAGGGAACCTGCAGCTCTCGCCCGTGGGACCTGCCAGGCCTGCGTCTATCGAACGCGTTCAAGGTATCCCGGCACCTGCCAGCTCCCTCCTCCCACGGAGCTCGTTGTGGAGTGTGCAGAGAGCAGCTTTCACTCTGTTATGCTCAGGGCCAGGGACTGGCATGTTACTCCATGTAGCCTGGCAGGGTTAAGAGGAGGAGGAGGCAGGATTTCCTCTGGGGCCAGAGGAAAGAATGGGCTAGCACTGTGCACAGTGAGCCACCAGTGGAAAAGGAGAGCCTGCTTGGAGAGGGCCTCTGCCTAGGATCCAGCCCCCTTTGACACCTCACTAGCAGGAGCCTTCCAGGTCTAGCTTTGCTCCTGGTCCCATGTCAGCAGGGTGTCTCTGCCCGTGCTTGTAGGGATTGCCACGGGGGCACCCACGCTTGGTTTGGCCATCTGGTGCCGTAAGGAGCCTGAGGTAGAGCCAG